GCAAGTCGGAGCTGGGGTGAGCAAGTCGGAGCTGGGGTGAGCAAGTCGGAGCTGGGGTGAGCAAGTCGGAGCTGGGGTGAGTAAGTCGGAGCTGGGGTGAGTAAGTCGGAGCTGCGGTGAGCAAGTCGGAGCTGGGGTGAGTAAGTCGGAGCTGGGGTGAGTAAGTCGGAGCTGGGGTGAGTAAGTCGGAGCTGGGGTGAGTAAGTCGGAGCTGGGGTGAGTAAGTCGGAGCTGGGGTGAGCAAGTCGGAGCTGGGGTGAGCAAGTCGGAGCTGGGGTGAGCAAGTCGGAGCTGGGGTGAGCAAGTCGGAGCTGGGGTGAGCAAGTCGGAGCTGGGGTGAGTAAGTCGGAGCAGGGGTGAGCAAGTCGGAGCAGGGGTGAGCAAGTCGGAGCTGGGGTGAGCAAGTCGGAGCTGGGGTGAGCAAGTCGGAGCTGGGGTGAGCAAGTCGGAGCTGGGGTGAGCAAGTCGGAGCTGGGGTGAGCAAGTCGGAGCTGGGGTGAGCAAGTCGGAGCTGGGGTGAGTAAGTCGGAGCTGGGGTGAGCAAGTCGGAGCTGGGGTGAGCAAGTCGGAGCTGGGGTGAGTAAGTCGGAGCTGGGGTGAGCAAGTCGGAGCTGGGGTGAGCAAGTCGGAGCTGGGGTGAGCAAGTCGGAGCTGGGGTGAGCAAGTCGGAGCTGGGGTGAGTAAGTCGGAGCTGGGGTGAGTAAGTCGGAGCTGGGGTGAGCAAGTCGGAGCTGGGGTGAGTAAGTCGGAGCTGGGGTGAGCAAGTCGGAGCTGGGGTGAGCAAGTCGGAGCTGGGGTGAGCAAGTCGGAGCTGGGGTGAGCAAGTCGGAGCTGGGGTGAGCAAGTCGGAGCTGGGGTGAGCAAGTCGGAGCTGGGGTGAGCAAGTCGGAGCTGGGGTGAGCAAGTCGGAGCTGGGGTGAGCAAGTCGGAGCTGGGGTGAGCAAGTCGGAGCTGGGGTGAGCAAGTCGGAGCTGGGGTGAGCAGTCGGAGCTGGGGTGAGTAAGTCGGAGCAGGGGTGAGCAAGTCGGAGCAGGGGTGAGCAAGTCGGAGCTGGGGTGAGCAAGTCGGAGCTGGGGTGAGCAAGTCGGAGCTGGGGTGAGCAAGTCGGAGCTGGGGTGAGCAAGTCGGAGCTGGGGTGAGCAAGTCGGAGCTGGGGTGAGCAAGTCGGAGCTGGGGTGAGCAAGTCGGAGCTGGGGTGAGCAAGTCGGAGCTGGGGTGAGCAAGTCGGAGCTGGGGTGAGCAAGTCGGAGCTGGGGTGAGCAAGTCGGAGCTGGGGTGAGCAAGTCGGAGCTGGGGTGAGTAAGTCGGAGCTGGGGTGAGCAAGTCGGAGCTGGGGTGAGCAAGTCGGAGCTGGGGTGAGTAAGTCGGAGCTGGGGTGAGTAAGTCGGAGCTGGGGTGAGCAAGTCGGAGCTGGGGTGAGCAAGTCGGAGCTGGGGTGAGCAAGTCGGAGCTGGGGTGAGCAAGTCGGAGCTGGGGTGAGTAAGTCGGAGCTGGGGTGAGTAAGTCGGAGCTGCGGTGAGCAAGTCGGAGCTGGGGTGAGTAAGTCGGAGCTGGGGTGAGCAAGTCGGAGCTGGGGTGAGCAAGTCGGAGCTGGGGTGAGCAAGTCGGAGCTGGGGTGAGCAAGTCGGAGCTGGGGTGAGCAAGTCGGAGCTGGGGTGAGGAAGTCGGAGCTGGGGTGAGCAAGTCGGAGCTGGGGTGAGCAAGTCGGAGCTGGGGTGAGCAAGTCGGAGCTGGGGTGAGCAAGTCGGAGCTGGGGTGAGCAAGTCGGAGCTGGGGTGAGTAAGTCGGAGCTGGGGTGAGCAAGTCGGAGCTGGGGTGAGCAAGTCGGAGCTGGGGTGAGTAAGTCGGAGCTGGGGTGAGTAAGTCGGAGCTGGGGTGAGCAAGTCGGAGCTGGGGTGAGTAAGTCGGAGCTGGGGTGAGCAAGTCGGAGCTGGGGTGAGCAAGTCGGAGCTGGGGTGAGTAAGTCGGAGCTGGGGTGAGTAAGTCGGAGCTGGGGTGAGTAAGTCGGAGCTGGGGTGAGTAAGTCGGAGCTGGGGTGAGCAAGTCGGAGCTGGGGTGAGCAAGTCGGAGCTGGGGTGAGCAAGTCGGAGCTGGGGTGAGCAAGTCGGAGCTGGGGTGAGGAAGTCGGAGCTGGGGTGAGTAAGTCGGAGCTGGGGTGAGCAAGTCGGAGCTGGGGTGAGCAAGTCGGAGCTGGGGTGAGCAAGTCGGAGCTGGGGTGAGCAAGTCGGAGCTGGGGTGAGTAAGTCGGAGCTGGGGTGAGTAAGTCGGAGCTGCGGTGAGCAAGTCGGAGCTGGGGTGAGTAAGTCGGAGCTGGGGTGAGTAAGTCGGAGCTGGGGTGAGTAAGTCGGAGCTGGGGTGAGTAAGTCGGAGCTGGGGTGAGTAAGTCGGAGCTGGGGTGAGCAAGTCGGAGCTGGGGTGAGCAAGTCGGAGCTGGGGTGAGCAAGTCGGAGCTGGGGTGAGCAAGTCGGAGCTGGGGTGAGCAAGTCGGAGCTGGGGTGAGTAAGTCGGAGCAGGGGTGAGCAAGTCGGAGCAGGGGTGAGCAAGTCGGAGCTGGGGTGAGCAAGTCGGAGCTGGGGTGAGCAAGTCGGAGCTGGGGTGAGCAAGTCGGAGCTGGGGTGAGCAAGTCGGAGCTGGGGTGAGCAAGTCGGAGCTGGGGTGAGCAAGTCGGAGCTGGGGTGAGTAAGTCGGAGCTGGGGTGAGCAAGTCGGAGCTGGGGTGAGCAAGTCGGAGCTGGGGTGAGTAAGTCGGAGCTGGGGTGAGCAAGTCGGAGCTGGGGTGAGCAAGTCGGAGCTGGGGTGAGCAAGTCGGAGCTGGGGTGAGCAAGTCGGAGCTGGGGTGAGTAAGTCGGAGCTGGGGTGAGTAAGTCGGAGCTGGGGTGAGCAAGTCGGAGCTGGGGTGAGTAAGTCGGAGCTGGGGTGAGCAAGTCGGAGCTGGGGTGAGCAAGTCGGAGCTGGGGTGAGCAAGTCGGAGCTGGGGTGAGCAAGTCGGAGCTGGGGTGAGCAAGTCGGAGCTGGGGTGAGCAAGTCGGAGCTGGGGTGAGCAAGTCGGAGCTGGGGTGAGCAAGTCGGAGCTGGGGTGAGCAAGTCGGAGCTGGGGTGAGCAAGTCGGAGCTGGGGTGAGCAAGTCGGAGCTGGGGTGAGCAAGTCGGAGCTGGGGTGAGTAAGTCGGAGCAGGGGTGAGCAAGTCGGAGCAGGGGTGAGCAAGTCGGAGCTGGGGTGAGCAAGTCGGAGCTGGGGTGAGCAAGTCGGAGCTGGGGTGAGCAAGTCGGAGCTGGGGTGAGCAAGTCGGAGCTGGGGTGAGCAAGTCGGAGCTGGGGTGAGCAAGTCGGAGCTGGGGTGAGCAAGTCGGAGCTGGGGTGAGCAAGTCGGAGCTGGGGTGAGCAAGTCGGAGCTGGGGTGAGCAAGTCGGAGCTGGGGTGAGCAAGTCGGAGCTGGGGTGAGCAAGTCGGAGCTGGGGTGAGTAAGTCGGAGCTGGGGTGAGCAAGTCGGAGCTGGGGTGAGCAAGTCGGAGCTGGGGTGAGTAAGTCGGAGCTGGGGTGAGTAAGTCGGAGCTGGGGTGAGCAAGTCGGAGCTGGGGTGAGCAAGTCGGAGCTGGGGTGAGCAAGTCGGAGCTGGGGTGAGCAAGTCGGAGCTGGGGTGAGTAAGTCGGAGCTGGGGTGAGTAAGTCGGAGCTGCGGTGAGCAAGTCGGAGCTGGGGTGAGTAAGTCGGAGCTGGGGTGAGCAAGTCGGAGCTGGGGTGAGCAAGTCGGAGCTGGGGTGAGCAAGTCGGAGCTGGGGTGAGCAAGTCGGAGCTGGGGTGAGCAAGTCGGAGCTGGGGTGAGGAAGTCGGAGCTGGGGTGAGCAAGTCGGAGCTGGGGTGAGCAAGTCGGAGCTGGGGTGAGCAAGTCGGAGCTGGGGTGAGCAAGTCGGAGCTGGGGTGAGCAAGTCGGAGCTGGGGTGAGTAAGTCGGAGCTGGGGTGAGCAAGTCGGAGCTGGGGTGAGCAAGTCGGAGCTGGGGTGAGTAAGTCGGAGCTGGGGTGAGTAAGTCGGAGCTGGGGTGAGCAAGTCGGAGCTGGGGTGAGTAAGTCGGAGCTGGGGTGAGCAAGTCGGAGCTGGGGTGAGCAAGTCGGAGCTGGGGTGAGTAAGTCGGAGCTGGGGTGAGTAAGTCGGAGCTGGGGTGAGTAAGTCGGAGCTGGGGTGAGTAAGTCGGAGCTGGGGTGAGCAAGTCGGAGCTGGGGTGAGCAAGTCGGAGCTGGGGTGAGCAAGTCGGAGCTGGGGTGAGCAAGTCGGAGCTGGGGTGAGGAAGTCGGAGCTGGGGTGAGTAAGTCGGAGCTGGGGTGAGTAAGTCGGAGCTGGGGTGAGCAAGTCGGAGCTGGGGTGAGCAAGTCGGAGCTGGGGTGAGCAAGTCGGAGCTGGGGTGAGCAAGTCGGAGCTGGGGTGAGCAAGTCGGAGCTGGGGTGAGCAAGTCGGAGCTGGGGTGAGCAAGTCGGAGCTGGGGTGAGTAAGTCGGAGCAGGGGTGAGCAAGTCGGAGCAGGGGTGAGCAAGTCGGAGCAGGGGTGAGCAAGTCGGAGCTGGGGTGAGCAAGTCGGAGCTGGGGTGAGCAAGTCGGAGCTGGGGTGAGCAAGTCGGAGCTGGGGTGAGCAAGTCGGAGCTGGGGTGAGCAAGTCGGAGCTGGGGTGAGCAAGTCGGAGCTGGGGTGAGCAAGTCGGAGCTGGGGTGAGCAAGTCGGAGCTGGGGTGAGCAAGTCGGAGCTGGGGTGAGCAAGTCGGAGCTGGGGTGAGCAAGTCGGAGCTGGGGTGAGTAAGTCGGAGCTGGGGTGAGCAAGTCGGAGCTGGGGTGAGCAAGTCGGAGCTGGGGTGAGTAAGTCGGAGCTGGGGTGAGTAAGTCGGAGCTGGGGTGAGCAAGTCGGAGCTGGGGTGAGCAAGTCGGAGCTGGGGTGAGCAAGTCGGAGCTGGGGTGAGCAAGTCGGAGCTGGGGTGAGCAAGTCGGAGCTGGGGTGAGTAAGTCGCAGCTGCTGCAGTATGTGCGCAAGGGTGAATCTGGTGCTGTGTGCTCCCCCTTCCTTCTCCCATACCTGGCCTCTCTGCAGGTCCTAGAGAGCGGAGCGTTGGTGCTGAGCGACAGAGGCATTTGCTGCATCGATGAGTTTAGGAAGAAGTGCCGGTTGAATCTGGTGCTGTGTGCATTTGTTTTCTCTTTCCCTCCCCCTGCCTGCTCAGGTCCTGGAGAGTGGAGCGTTGGTGCTGAGCGACAGAGGCATTTGCTGCATTGATGAGTTTGACAAGATGTCTGACAATGCTCGCAGCATGCTGCACGAGGTGAGGGGGGAGTGAAGGTGGGGGCTCGGTGTGTATGAGTTGGTGGTTAAGGGGAAGGTGGAAGAGGGGGAAGTGGGGAGAGTGTGGCCGGGCCATCTGCTGCATCGATGAATTTGACAAGATGTCCGACAATGCCCGCAGCATGCTGCATGAGGTGAGAGTGGGGGTGAGGGGGGAGCGGGGGGGGGGGGGGGGTTGCCATTGCGGGTGGGTACATGCTGGACAATGCTGCATCGATGAGTTTGACAAGATGTCTGATAATGCCCGCAGCATGCTGCACGAGGTGAGGGGAGGAAGGGAAGGGCGGGGAGGGGTGGTGGGGGGGAGTATGTGATTGCGAGTGGGTACATGAGGCAGACAGAGACACAAGATGTCTGATAATTTGTGCAGCATGCTGCACGAGGTGAGGGTGGGGGTGGGGGGTGGGGAGGGTGGAGGGTGGAGGGAGGGGTGTGAGGTGCATGAGGTGCAGACTGTGTATGTGGCCAAGGCAGGCCTTATCCACGTCCGTGTGATTCCACCATGCTGCCTTATCCACGTCCGTGTGATTCCACCATGCTGCCTGTGTGAAGTCAAGTCAACGACACTGTGTGTGCAGACCATCGCCGCCTTGTCCCCCACCAGGTCATGGAGTTGAATTTCGAGGCGCCTCAAAAGTCGCCGCCTTGTCCCCCACCAGGTCATGGAGAAGCAGACCGAGCCAGTGGCCGATGCCGGCATTATCACCACACGTCCAATCACGCAGTGTTAACCGTACCTTCCACAACCATGCCCAATCCCGTTTTCCTCCATGTGTGCCTGACGCACCTCTCCCCCCACCAGGTCATGCAGCAGACTGTGTCAGTGGCCATGGCAGGCATCATCGCCACGCTCAACGCGCGCACGTTCCGTGCTCGCCTGCGCCAACCCCGCTTTGTGTGTGTGTGTGTGTGTGTGTGTGTGTGTGTGTGTGTGTGTGTGTGTGTGTGTGTGTGTGTGTGTGTGTGTGTGTGTGTGTGTGTGTGTGTGTGTGTGTGTGTGTGTGCCCCCTCTTCACCCATCAGGTGATGGAGCAGCAGACGGTGTCAGTGGCCAAGGCGGGCATCATCGCTACGCTCAACGCGCGCACCTCCGTGCTCGCCTGCGCCAACCCCTCTGGCTCGCGCTACAACCCGCGCCTCTCTGTCATCGACAACATCCAGCTGCCGCCCACCCTGCTCTCCAGGTATGGGTCTGAATTAGTTTGACTTTCTTGACTCTGGCTCTCGCTACAACCCGACAACATCCAGCTATCCTTAGCCTATCCTTTATCAAAAACATCCAGCTGCCGAGATTCGATCTCATCTGTCTCGCTCTCGACAAGGTCGGGGAGGAGCAATTGCTTTCTTTCTTTCACTATGTTCTTTCTGTGCTGCGCCACCAGGTTCGACCTCATCTATCTCGTTCTCGACAAGGCAGAGGAGCAATCCGACCGTCGGTTAGCCCGCCATCTCGTTGCTCTGCACTACAAGAACCCAGAGGTACTGCATGCTGTGCGGTGCAGAGGTGCTGTGTGCGTTGCAGAGGTACTGCATGCGGTGCGGATGTGTTGTGTGCGGTGTAGAGGTACCGTGCACGGTGGACTTCTATTCAATCATCGGCCATCTCGTCGCTCTCCACTACAAGAACCCAGAGGTACTGTGTGCAGTGCAGAGGTACTGTGTGTGGCGCTGAGATTGTATGTGCGGTTCCATGATATTGTGTGCGGTGCCATGATATTGTGTGTGGTGCCATGATATTGTGTGCGGTGCCATGATATTGTGTGCGGTGGAGTAAGAACTCAGAGGTGCTGTGTGCGGTGCTGTACACTCAGAGGTGCTGTGTGCGGAGCTAGTGAACGCCCGTCTTCGCTACACAACGCCCAAGTAAATCCCTCACCTGTTATTCCTCCCGCTCTCTCCCTTTCAGGCCATCTATCTCTGTCTCTTTCTCCCCTCCCTCCCTTTCCTCCCTTCTTTTCCAGGCCTCCACAGCCGCCACCATAGATGTGGCAACACTCACCGCCTGCATCACGTACGCACGCACACGAATCCACCCAGAGCTGAGCGACGAGGCGGCAGAGGAGCTCGTGAACGCTCCCCTTGCTTCCCCGCTCTCCATCTCGCTCCCCTTGCTTCCCCGCTCTCCATCTCGCTCCCCTTGCTTCCCCGCTCTCCATCTCGCTCCCCTTGCTTCCCCGCTCTCCATCTCGCTCCCCTTGCTTCCCCGCTCTCCATCTCGCTCCCCTTGCTTCCCCGCTCTCCATCTCGCTCCCCTTGCTTCCCCGCTCTCCATCTCGCTCCCCTTGCTTCCCCGCTCTCCATCTCGCTCCCCTTGCTTCCCCGCTCTCCATCTCGCTCCCCTTGCTTCCCCGCTCTCCATCTCGCTCCCCTTGCTTCCCCGCTCTCCATCTCGCTCCCCTTGCTTCCCCGCTCTCCATCTCGCTCCCCTTGCTTCCCCGCTCTCCATCTCGCTCCCCTTGCTTCCCCGCTCTCCATCTCGCTCCCCTTGCTTCCCCGCTCTCCATCTCGCTCCCCTTGCTTCCCCGCTCTCCATCTCGCTCCCCTTGCTTCCCCGCTCTCCATCTCGTTCCCCTTGCTTCCCCGCTCTCCATCTCGCTCCCCTTGCTTCCCCGCTCTCCATCTCGCTCCCCTTGCTTCCCTGCTCTCCATCTCGCTCCCCCCCATGCTCTCCCTTTTCCTTCATCCCCAGGCCTCTGCTTCAGCCACCATCGACGTGGCCACTTTGACATCCTACATCACGTATGCGCGCACGTGCATCCACCCAGAGTTGAGCGACGAGGCGCCAGAGGAGCTGGTGAACGCTCGTCCGCCTCCACCCCCTTTCTTCCCTCTTCTGCATCTCCCTCCCCTGTCTTCCCTCCCTTCCCTCCGTTCCCTCCCTTACCTCCCTTCCCTCCCTCCATCCCCACCCCAGGCCTCTGCAGCAGCCACCATCGACGTGGCCACTTTGACATCCTACATCACGTATGCGCGCACGCGCATCCACCCAGAGCTGAGCGACGAGGCGGCAGAGGAGCTGGTGAATGCTTACGTGGAGCTGCGGGGGAGGGGGTCGGGGCGAAAGGTGAGGAGAGGGAGGAAGGGGAATGGGAGGAAAGGCAGAGGGGGAAGGGTGACGAGGCCGCAGAGGAGCTGGTGAATGCTTATGTGGAGGGTGGGGGTTGGGGCGAAAGGTATGTTTCAGAAGGGGGGGTACGCGTGGTGAGAGTGGGGGTAAAGAAAGGGCGGGCAGTGGAGGGGTTCTCAGAGGGAGGTGAGCGACGAGGCGGCAGAGGAGGTGATGAACGCGTCTGTGGAGCTGCGGGGGCGGGGGGCGGGGAGAAAGGTATGTTTTACGAGGGGGATAACCGTGGTGAGAGTGGTGGGAAGGAAAGGGAGAGCAGCGGGGGGGTTCTCGGAGGGAGGTGAGCGACGAGGCGGCAGAGGAGGTGGTGAACGCGTCTGTGGAGCTGCGGGGGCGGGGGTCGGGGAGAAAGGTGAGAAGGGGGAAGGAGAAGGGGAAGCTCTGGTAGCAAAGAGTCGAGCAGCAGAGGAGGTGGGGAATGCATATGTGGAGCTGCGGGGGCGGGGGTGCATGGCGGAGTGGTGGTATTGACGATGCTCGTGTATGCTCACTTGCATGCACTCACTCATGCACACGCATGGATGGATTGGGTCATGCATGCAGACAAGCGTCTACCTGACATGCCTCTCCGCACCATTCTCCCTGCCACGTCACCCACCCCAGGTCATCACTGCAACGCCACGTCAGCTGGAGAGTCTGATCCGCATCAGCGAAGCACTGGCCCGCTTGAAGCTGGCGTCCACGGTGGGTTGAGGAGGAGGGGGGAGGAGGGGGGTTTGGGGGAGGAAGGGAAAGAGGGGAGCGGAGGAAGGGTGGGGAGGGGAGGGAGGACGAGGGGAGGGGATGGGGGGACTATGGACCTCATCACCATTGGCACAGTCCACCCATTGAAACTCGCTTCTCCCTCACTCACTCCCTCACTCACTCCCTCACTCGCTCCATCGCCCACCCCCTCCCTCACTCACCTGCTTTCACCCATATGCACGCCCCTTGGCCAGGTGACGCACGAGGATGTGGGGGAGGCACGCAGGCTGCTAGACGTGGCAATGCAGCAGTCAGCCACGGATCCCACCACAGGCGGCATCACTGCGAACCTCCCTCCCGCCCCCTCACTCCCTTACTCCCTTCATCCCCCGCAGGTGACGCACGAGGACGTGACAGAGGCGAGGCGGCTGCTAGACGTGGCAATGCAGCAGTCAGCCACGGATCCCACCACAGGCACCATCGACATGGATCTCATCACCACAGGGGTGTCCGCCAGTGAGCGGGCCAAGCGCGTGCAGCTGCAGGAGGCGCTGCTCTCCTTCCTGCAGGATAGGGCTACCGCTTCCCGGTCGTCCTTCCGAGCGCCTCAGGTACGGGATATGGCTACATGTGTGTTGGCATGGAAACATGGGTGCCAGTGAGCGGGCCTAGCGGGTGCAGCTGCAGGAGGCGCTGCTTTCTTTTCTGCAGGACAAGGCCACCGCCTCCCGCTCCTCCTTCCGAGCGCCTCAGGTACTCTCACTCAGGAGCCTTAGGTAGTTCTGCTGTGAGAGGGCAGAGAGCATGCAGGCACCACCACAGGCACCATCGACGTGGATCTCATCACCACGGGAGTGTCAGCCAATGAGCGGGCCTAGCGACTGCAGCTGCAGGAGGCGCTGCTTTCTTTTCCGCAGGACAAGGCCACCGCCTCCCGCTCCTCCTTCCGAGCGCCCCAGGTATGTTCAACCAACTCTGTTAGGCACACAGGCACCACCACAGGCACCACCACAGGCACCATCGACATGGACCTTATCACCACAGGCGTGTCGACGAGCGAGAGGGCCAAGAGGGTGCAGCTGCAGGAGGCTCTCCTTTCCTTCCTTCAAGGTATGGCCACTGCTTCCTGCTCCTCCTTCCGAGCGCCCCGTGTAGTACCGAGAACCTCAGGTACTGCTGTTGAATGGTGGCCTAGTTTGTGTGTGTAGAGCACCTGCACCGCTCTGGTGAGAGGGCCAAGCGCAGGCCAAGCGCGTGCACCGGCAGGACTCACTGCTCTCCCTCCTGCGCGGCAGAGCCACTGCCTCCCGCTCCTCCTTCCGAGCGCCCCAGGTATTGTCAGGAGCCTCGGGTACTCCCTCAGGTGCTTTCTGGAACCTCAGGTACTCCCTCAGGTACTTGCTGGGGCCTCAGGTACTCTCAGGAGCCTCAGGTAGCCGTGGTGGTGTGTTAGCGTGGTATGGGTACGTCTGCTGGAGTTTCTCCACTCCAGTACTCTCTACTCGCATGTGGTCTTGTATATTGTCGCTTGCTCCCCTGTGTATCTATCCGCACCATCTTGCACCCATCTGTGTCCTCCTGCTGTGTTTGGAGTTGACTTAAAACACACTCAGGCACGCTCCGGAGCCTCAGGTAGCCATGCCGTGTTGGTGTGGTATGTGGCCACTATGGGTACGTCTGCTGGGGAGTTTCTAGCTCTCTTCTTGCACGTGTTGTATAGTGTTGCTTGCCCCCCCGGGTGGATGCATCTGCACCCCTTTGCACCCAAGTGTGTCGTCCTGTGCGCATGTTCTTCCCATTTCCACCGAAATCTACCCATTTGCACCGCATTCACAGGTGTGGGAGGACCTAAGGCAGCAATCATCCATACCTGTCACACTCTTCGAGGTGAGCTCCCCATCTTTAAGCCCCGCAAGGGCATCTCGAAAAGCAATCCATACCTGTCACTGTGATGTGAGTTTCACATCTTAAAGCCTCATAAGGGGCACCTCAGGAGAGCAATCCTAGATACCTGCCACATTTTCCCTGCTAATCACACTCAATTGTCAGTCTCATGAGTTATTTATGTCTGCTCTGCATGGTTTCTGCCCTCAGCATTAGTTGTACCCTCCAAATAACTCTGCCCTGCACACTCATGTTTAGTGTGCCTCCCTGCCACCTGGTCTTAACACCCTGCGCTGCACGCACTCTCTTCTACCATCCCATGACTGCAATATCTATGTCTGTCAGTCCCATGCAATGCAATCTACATCTGGCTCATCAACATCTGTGATGCACTCGTGTGGTACGGCCCTTGCGTGTTGTTGATTTTACACACCTCCTTTTTGCGCCTCCTTGTCTTGCGTGCCTTCTCCTGCCAAGCCAGGTCCGTGAGGCTCTAGGGCGGCTGCATGGGGAAGGCAAGGTGGTGTTCATTGATGACACTGTTCGAGTGGCATGAGCCATGACATGAATTGGTGGATGCACTCGATATTGAGGCTGTAGAAGTAACCCTTAGGATGTTCTGTACGGTAGGTAATTCTCAGAAGTTACGTAGCGGAATGGTTGGTAGTAAGGGAGAAGGGAGTACAAGGCAAGTGTCGAGAAAGGTTCTGTACCCCCTACTGTGAACCCTACTTAGGCTACAATTCTAACAAACATGTAAAACGACATTTGACACACCCCCATAGCCTAAGTGAGGGGCATCAAAGCAAGCAAGAGACACAAATGGTCACAAGACCAGTCAAGCGAAACAACGACACAAAGCTCAGGGTGGATCACGAAGTCACCACACAATCTGAGTACAAGACAGCAGCCACAAGGCCAGTTCAAGAGTTCACTAATATAAATATGCAAGGACAACCAGAGCAAGCAACAAGAACAAGGCTACAGCAACCGAGCACCAGCGTCAACAAGGCCTAACTGAAGACAGAACCTGTGGTGGTCACTAGGCGCTAGGGCCTTGGTGAAAATGTCTGCTGTGTTGGTCGCTGAGGCCACAAAATCCAAGCGAGCCTGGCCGCGTCGCTGCAACTCTCGCAGGAGAAAGTACATGAAGTCGATGTGCTTCACTCTGCCCTTTAGTCGAGGCTCTCGACAGAGGAGGATCATGACCATGTTGTCAGCGAACAAGGTCGGTGCAGAGCGAGGCCTCTCACCAAGGTCAGTGAGCAAGAAAGTCAACCAACGAAGTGCGTAGCCATGGCACCAGCGTAGATCTCTGCCTCTGCGCTGGATTGTGCCACAGACGACGACCTAGTAGACCTCCACGACACAGCTTCAGCATCCAAACTGAAACATTATCCCTGAGTAGAGCGCTGGGTCTCCACGTCGTCGGCGTACGAAGAGTCGTAGTGACCGGTCAGAACAACTGGCTGTGTCCCTCCAAGCACAAGCCCCACGCCTGACGTAGTCGCTAGGTACTTAGCCACCCTCTTAGTAACCGTCCAGTGCACTGGACAGTGTCTCCCAGTCGCAACAAAGCAAGAGAGAACACTGAGGGGAAAGGCGAGGTCCGGACAAGTACAAGTCATCAGGTACATAAGGCAGCCCACAAGCTCTGCGTAGGGACCACTAGACTCAAAGGGCTCGTCGAGAAAAGGGTTGGTGAGTCTGTGGTCAACGGCAAGAGGAGTAGGCTGTGTGGTGGAGTGCTGAAGCCCGAACCGCTGAATGACTTGCTGCACCATGTGTGACTATGAGAGCGACTCTGTCCCTGGTGATCTGCAAGCCCAGGTAGCGGTGCAGCTCACCAACGTCAGTGCACGTGTGTCTCTTCTGCAGTTCGGATTTCACCTCAGCCAGAGCAACTCTGTCTGCTGAAGTGAAGACCAAGTCATCGACGTAGACAAGGACAAAGAAATGCCGTCATCGCCCGGATATAAGACATATATGTCTTATCTCGTACACGGGCAAAAATGCTTGAGTTATCTTGTAAACGGGATGGTTTAGGGTGTCTTATAAGTCTTATAAATGGAAAAAAAATTAAGTTGACTGTAACACTTGCAAAGTGTGTAGAAACCACCCAAAGACCAATTTCATTTAAACAGGCCGACCTCGGTGGTGATGCATGCAGCGCCCACACTTTCCACGTGAGGGAGCTGCCACCGCTGGCAACATTCCTCTGTGCTGGCAGCATCTAATGATGCTGCCAGCGTCGTTTTGCTGCCAGGAGCGCATGGATGCTTCCAGAACGCTGCTGGCAGCACGTTGGCAGCGTGAGGGCTGTCCTCTACGAGGAGATGCCTCGTAGAGGAGCGGCTCGGCACCTGTGGATGGGGCACTCTGGTTGGGGGGGGTAGTCGGGCTCTCACTTCATTTCGTGCTCAAGGAGGTTGAATACTCGTCTCAACCTTGCTCTCGGCAGGCTCTCTAACCATGCGCAGCAAAGTACCAGTAGGCAAGTCCTCACCTCGTCCTCACGTGCAGGTTAATAACTACGGGCGAATTAACTCGCCCGGCGATGACATCCGTGTAGCCATGGCGAAGAACGCGAGCAAGGCGGCAAGTCCTACCGCCGCCTCCGGTGCGAGCTGTGACGGGGACGACGGAGACGAAGCGAACGGCGACGACGCCGAGGAGGATTGGCTGGAGAACGGCCACGACGACAGCGCTTCAGGCGACGATGTAGGTCCTGCTGACATCGAGGAGGACGACTGGTGGAATCGGCCGGTCGGGAGCAACGACGAGGTGGAAGAGTGGCATGCTGGTGATTCCGACAACGACGGAGGTAAAGATGCGCATGGTAACAACGCGGAGGCAGCGGCGGATGCACAGGAAGCGGCGGTGGATGCGAATGAGGAGGCTGACGATGAGGCGGGGGCGGAACTTGAGACATTTGCGCCTGCGGATGCGGCCGCAGTTGCGGATGCGGAAGGCGAGGAAGGCGGCGACGACGACCCATGGAGCTTTGGGACCGACGACGACGTCCCGCTACTGAAGCGGAGGCTGCGCCATCGCCTACAGTCCAAGTCAAAGCGGGCCCGCGTGGTGCTCTCTGACGACGACGGTCCGGGGGAGGAGCGTCGCCCGATACTCACCGCTGCGGAGAAGGGGAAAGCCAAGGTTGCGGAAGCCCCTTCTAAGGCCCCTGCTAAAGCCCCTGCTCGTCGCCGCACAAGCAACAAGAAGCTGACATCCGACGGAGACCCGGGATCCAGCAAGGGTGGATAAGAAGAAGGCGAAGAAGGCACCGAATCCTGACGACATCGTCGTGAACGAGCCGCTGGGCAGCGGCGATGAGTACGCGGCGGCGGCGGGCCCGATTCCCACGTTCCCTGAGAAGGTAACGCCGAGGGACCCCACCCTCCATAATCCCAACACCCGCCCACCTTCCCCTCGCAGCAAAGACACTACGAAGAAGCGCCGCAGTTGGACCGTGCGTGAGAAGCTTAAGTGGGCGCGCCGCTATCAGGAGCTCGGCTCCTTGAAGAAGACGAGTGTGGAGTCAACCGCGTCCATCGCCTGCATCAGACGCTGGTGTGCGGAGGCGGAAGCGGGCGTCTACAAGGGCGCGGCCAACTGCCGCAAGCGGATGCACGGGGGGGGGCGCCACTCACACTACCCCGACATGGAGGCAGCGTTGTACCGCTACATCTGCCTTCAACGCGCTAACGGGGTGGCCATCTCGGTGAAGGACACCCAGAAGTGGAGCCGCGAGTGGATGAAGAAGCATTACCCCGGCAAGAACTGGAACGCGAGCTCTCACTGGAGCCAGCGTTTCCGTGACCGCTGGAACCTGGTGATGCGGGTGAAGACCAAGGTCGGCCAACGTCTGTCGGCAGGTGCGTGTTGAAGGATTTCGTCTGGCGCTCTATTGAATACATATCCCTCACCCAGTGTCTAACCATCCCGTGCTTCCGTTGCGCTTGTCCCGTTTGCAGAGTGCGCGAAGGACTGCGAGTCCTTCTGGAAGTTTGTGCGCATCAACAGGGCGCGGCACAAAATCGACCTGGCCCGCATCATCAACGCGGACCAGACTCCACTATTCGTGGAGATGCCAGCCGAACGGACGATCGAGCACCGTGGCGCGCGCTCGGTTCCAATCCGCACTGCAGGCTACCAGAAGACGCGCTTGACGGTGATGCTCGCGTGCACTGCATGCGGGGAGAAGCTGCGGTCGTGGGTGTGGTTCAAGATGAAGAACGTCCCCAACTGTGAGATTCCGGAAGGTAAGCGAGCGTGAATTCAACCGTGCGACTGCCTGATGAGCGTGCCCCACTGTACTGATGCCCGTCTGTCCCTTATGTGCCTGGCAGGAATCGTGGTCCAAGCACAGGACAACGGGTGGATGGACGAGACCGGTGTGAAGACCTGGCTGTCCAAGGAGGTGCTGCCCCATCTGAACCCCCAGCGCGGCCAGAACGCAAGGCGGGCGATGCTGGTGTTGGACTCCTACCGCGGTCACATCACCCAGACCATGCTTCAGTCGTATCGCACGCACAGCATCACCCCTGCAGTCATCCCAGCGGGTTGTACGAGCCAGATTCAACCCCTGGACGTCTCCATCAACCGGTGCTTCAAGGCTGCTGTGCGAGCGTGCTACGCCAGGTGGTTCATGCGTGAAAGGATTCACCTAAAGACGAAGAAGGGTGAGTTGGTCCTTCATTTACGGTTTTATTCATGTTCTGTTTCGTGTCCTTGTCTTAAACATGCTCCTTCATATCCGTGTCTCTTACATCTCGCTGCCCCGTCCTCTGTCCCACCCGCAGGGAACCTGCGGAGGCCTCCGCACCCCGTGGTGCTGCAGTGGATCGCGGAGGCTTGGGATCAAGTCCCCAAGCAGATCATCATCGACGCGTTCCGCCACTGTGGGATCTCGAGCAAGCTGGACGGAACAGAGAACCACCTGGTGATGTCTCACCTGCGCGCCAGGAGCACCACCGATGTCTCCGCGGACATGTCTCTCGGGGGGACCATAGGCGACAACACGCGCCTGCTCGGTTGGGCTCCAGAGGAGGAGGAGGAGGCGATGCAGGCGGAGGGCGTGCGGGAGGTGGCCGTGGCAACCGGCCTGGAGGTGCTGTACCAGGAGACCCCCAACTACCGTGGAGCGGCGGCCGAGGCTGACCGCATGATCGAGCCTAGGGAGACGGCTAGGCATGCCTGGCGAGTGCCAGACCTGGGTGTAGAGCCTGATGTTAGTGCAGGTGAGGAGGCGGTGACTGAGGGGGGTTAGGTAGAAGTAGAGATTCATGATTGTATGCATGTACCCCCCTAAAGTAGGAAAGCTAGCTAAGAAGACACCCCGTGTTTATAAGAAAACCCCTAAACCCTGGTTCTGATTATAAGACATATATGTCTTAACTCGTACACACAAATAGGTGTCATATAAAAAGGCTAGCTTGTTTATAAGAGACACCCGTATAGTAGACAACCCCTGTCTACTATTCAACACTGTCTTATATCCGGGCGATGACGGTGAGTGGAGCCTCTGCGAACAAACAGCAACGGGTCGGCGGACGAAGGGCTGAAACCGAAGTCAGCAAGCGTGGTGCGTAGCGTGTCGTACCACTCGCGCGGCGCCTGGCGGGGATCGTAGACTGGTCGTCTCAGGCTACACTTGGTCCCCGGAGGGAAAGTGCTAGTAAAGCCAGGAGGACGCCGCAGCCAGATCTCCTTGTGTATGCGGCCCTGGAGAAACGCGGTGGAGAAGTCAAGGGAGTGCAGCTCGTAGTCTCGCTGTGCTGCTACGTGAAGTAACACCCGAAGAGTAGTCATCTTCAGGGTCGGGGCGAAAGTCTGAAAGAAGTCAACTCCCTCACACCGACTGAAGCCCCTAGCCACGTAGCGCGCCTTGAAGACAGGCGGTGATTCAGGCGGCCGCTTCACCTTGAGATCCACATGCCGTCAACTACGTTCGCCCTGGGAGGGGGAACTGCGTCAACGTAGGTGCTTGTGGATCTCTAAGACGCCATCTCTGAGTCCATGGCCGCTTTCCACTGAGGGGTCCACTGCCCTGACACTGCCTCTCGGTATGTGCGAAGAGTCGGAATGTCAAGGGCGCCGCGGTCTCCCTCAAGGGAAAGCAGCATAGCACAGAAAAAGGGAGAAGCGGCTACTAGGAACTCCAGCTCAAACTGCCTGTCCTCTAGGATGTCACAGCTAAGGGCAAACTCACCCCCGGCGGACAGAGGACGGGCAGGCGGGGCAGCCACTACACGCGTGGCAAAGTCAAGGCGGCGGGTGGAAGCAAAGTCAGCGATAGCGGCAATAAAAGCCGAGACAGACAACGGAGAGGCACGGGGTTCGGTGACAAGAGAGGCGAGAACACGAGAGACAACAGGACGAGCAATACGATAGTAGTCAGTGATAGGGTGAGAGGAAACAGTGGGAGGCAACGCAGGAGGTGGCGGGAGAACAGACACAGGCGGAGCACGACGAGGACTAGAACGAAACAAGACATTGCGGAGGTCGTCAAAAGGAGACGAAGGACGAGCACGTGCTGGACAACGAGTAGTCCAGTCGTGTGGGAGAACAGGAGGAGGCGACTGTGACTGAGGAGGAGAGAAAACAGCCGGAGCCGAGTCCGGAGGAGGAAACGTAGGGGCGTACGCAGTAGGAGACTGTGAGGGGACAGGAGGAGCGGAGGGAAGACCAAGGGCCCGAAGGCCACTCACTGGTGGGAACAGCTGCTGCAAAAGTGGCGGCTGCGACGAACGCTGCTGCTGCTGCTCCTGCTGCCCCTGCAGGTCCAACCGTCGCAGCTCCTGCTCCTCTCGCTCACGTCGGCGAGCTACCTGGAGACGTGTGTCGTGGCGGTGGGGACGCGCAGGAGTAGTGCCTCCAGCTCCAGTCTCCTTGGAACTAGCACCTCCAATGCCAGTACCTCCTGCTCCAGCACCCCCCAAACTAGCACCTCCAGTGCCAGCACCTCCAGCTCCACCACCCCTCAAAAGAGCACCCCCAGGAAGAGTACCTCCAGTGGCAGCACCTCCAGTGGCAGCACCTCCAGCTCCAACACCCCCGAAGTCCACACTAACTTGTCGTGGGAGTGACGAAGGCTGCAGAAGGGACTGTGAGGAGGACTGTGGGGAGGGAGACGCTACCTGACGCGCGACCGAAGGTAGAGGGGTAGTGTGAGACACACCTGATGGGGCAGGACCAGGGGGGGGCGGGGGCACCGGAGGAGCGACAGCAAGAGGAGATGAGGGTGCAAGGAAGAGGGGGGGAGGGGGAACCGGGAGACCTTGACAGAGGTACCAAGTGTAGTAGGACACTGACTCGTCAAACTGGACGTCACGAGAGTCTAGAAACTGGTGGAGGGGCGGGTGGTAAAAGGGGTAGTCGGGAGAGCCCACCGGGAAACCACAGAAGACACAAGGGATGGCGCGAGCCGAGAGCTTGTCCGCAAAGGTGTTGCGGACAAGCGCAAGGCAGCCCCAGACGTGAAAAGCCGACCCAACACCAGGGGACCTAGTCCAAAGAGTGGTCGGTGAAAACTCTGGCCGCGAGACACGCGGCTAGAGGTTCAGCTGGTGCGCGGCATAGCACAGCGCGTAGGGCCACAGAAAATGGGGCGCACGAGCATGGATCATGGACGTGCGGGCGATGTTAATGACCAAGCCAATATGGCGCTCAGCAACCCTATTCTATTGTGGGGACTCCGGCAGCATCCAGGACTGTGTGATGCCCTACTCGCCGCAAGACCGGGGACAAGACTGTGACTGGCCATTCTGCGGAGGCGAGGGAGCGACAGGTGGCCAAGGCGGTGGTGCCACAAGACGGTCGGGTGGGCCTAGGGACCGGCAGGAGCAAGACGCAGCAACCTGACTAGACACCACTACCTGACCAGACACAGCAACCGGACTAGACACTGGGACCAGAGGGGACGCAACGACCTGAGCGGAGGAAGCAACCGGGGAGCGCTCGGTGTGGAGAACGTAGAGACCGAAGCGGGGCTCCCTAGTGAACGTGGCCAGAACACCCACCAATTTCCGAGTGAACGAGGGGAGGAGAGGCGGTCAGGGAGGCGAGTGACTAACCAGTGTACGGTGAGCCACATAGGAGGGGGGGCAAGCAGAAGCCAAGCCTCACTGCAAGTTGCACGGTAGCTAGTGTCGAGGGAACGCAGGTGAGTGGCAAGGTCGGAAACATTCCCAAATGACCCAAGGTCGGGAAACACAAAAGGCATGAGGAGGCGGCTGGGGGAGGCAGCGGAAGGGTTGGAATAACGCGCAACGATAGCATCATAACAACCCTTTGCAGTCTCGACCTGGGAGAAGTGAACGGCCTCAGTCGGTGGGAGAAGGTCCGTCAGCGCGAGAGCAGCCGCAGCGTCGCGAGAGTCCCAGACATCACGCGCCAGGAAACGCCGGTCGTAGTCCGCCTGCTCCTCAAAAGTGGGAGCAAGCTCAGTAGGCAAAGGGACGGGGCGTGCAGGGGCCCGGAGTGCGCCAGACGCGTGGGCATACAAGGTGGCACCGTCCTGGCGCTGACTAGTAAGGTGGCGCTGAGCCTGGCGGAGCCACGTACTAAAGTCGATAGGACGGCCTTCCGCATCAAAACGTAGGCGGCGGGAGGACTCCATAGTAACATCTAGGAGCGGCCGGGCTAGGAGCAGCTGGAGCTAGGAGCGGCCAAGCTAGGAGCAACTGAAGCTAGGAGCGGCCAGGAGAGGAGCGGCTGGAGCTAGGAGTGACCAGGCTAGGAGCGACAGAAGCTAGGAGTGGCTAGGCTAGGAGCGGCCGGAGTTAGGAGCGCCGAGCTACAGACTAGCGGAATTGGAGTGAGTGGAGCTAGGAGCGCCAGGTTTGAAAAATGCCGGTCGGAAACCTAGTCTAGGAGGAGATCGAAAAAAACTACTCTAGCAAAAGGAGAGAAGAGCGACTGCCAGCCGCCGTGGAAGATGCCTATGGCAGGAAAACCGTTTGAGAGCGCGAGCACAGCAACGGTGCAGAGGGAAGAGCCCGCTGCTGGGTGGGGCGGTGTGGCTGTCTGTAATGCGCGCTGCAAGTGCTAGGACGCGCGCTGCTAGAACGTGTGAGCGTGACTGGGCGGAGGTAGCTGCTGCCGCTGGCGGCTGCGGGCGTTAGCAGTGTGGCTGCTGCTGGCGGCTGCAGGCGCTAGCAGTGTGGCTGCTGCTGGCATCTGCAGGCACTAGCAGTGCTGATGCTGCTGGCGCTTGCGGGCGCTTGCGCTGCTGCTGCTGCTGGCGGCTGAGTGCAAAGCAGGCGTGCACTGCTGCGTGCGCGGCTGCTGCGTGCGGCTGTTGCTGCGCGTGCGCGCGTGGCCTGTGCGTGCGTGGCCTGCAGTCAATTGTGCGTGGCGGTTGTGCGTGCGCGCGGGCTGGCAGGACGTGGCAGAACGGGCCCGCGGGGGGCCTTCGTGAGTGTGACCAAACGGAGCTCGCGGAAGCCTGTTAAACACCATCAACGGGGCCCACAGGGGCCTTTCAATCGCGGCTAAACGGAGCCCATTGGCGTGGCGTGCAGTGGCGCACTACTGCGACTGCTGCGACGGCCTGCCTAAGCGCGACGGGCCTGCCTAAACGTGACGGCCTGGCTAAGCGCGTGGGGAAAAATGGGCCACGGCGGCCTGCCTGAGCGCGACAGAATGGGGAGGGGCGGGGGATTGATAGGCTCGATAGGCAGGGTATGTGAGTGTACGGGCTAGGAGGAAGGCAACAATGAGGACTAACTATGACTAATAGGCCTAGGAGGTAACCTCATGATACCATCTCAGAAGTTACGCAGCGGAATGGTTGGTAGTAAAGAAGAGGGGAGTACAAGGCAAGTGTCGAGAAAAGTTCTGTACCCCCTACTGAGAACCCTACTTAGGCTAGAATTCTAACAAACATGTGAAACAACATTTGACAGTAATGTAAAAAAATGAACGATCTGTGCAAAGGTTCATTTTGCCTGAATACCTCACCCAGCCCTTGCAAAGTTCGCACTGACCGTTCTTAAAAATAAATCATCTTCCTGGATTGAATTTTATTGTTGCGAATTGTGAATGTAACACAGCTGAGGAGACCTAAGATGCCGCATGCGTTATTGCTCGGGCTTACCGTATTAGTGTTACGAGTGCAATTGAGCGAGCGAGCGAGAATTGCACTATCGAATCAAAACAGTACAATGAGCGAAGGATTGAGCGAGAACTAAATAGCGAAGGCCACAGTGGTAACGGTAATGAACTGTGGGTGACGCGCGACGGACCTAGGACTGAGGTTGGGACTGA